ATGATAAAAAAAATTATTATACACTGGGGGTGTCACTGAACAGAAAAAACAGCCGAAAAGGCCTCTCACCTGAACCCATCAGCATGCCCAGCACGATGGACCCGCGTGCCTGCTCTGCTTCATAAAGAGGAGGAAAGCAGGAGCGCACACTCAACTGTCTGCTGTCTCCAGCAAACACTCCTCTACACAGGCAGTCTATGGCTATATCTGCCAGCTGCACACACACATTAAGGTGGGTAAATATCTCTCTGTCGCTTCACATTTGAGACTGATTTATGCTGGCAGCAAAAAGCTTCATACGTACAGTAGCACAAGGATGACAGGGATGGATTAACAGGTCATTGAGCATATTTGCTAGTTCTCACCTCAGAGCCCAGCCGTCTGGACACAAATGCATGCACAGATTCGTCCTCTTCTGTCCCTTTACTGATCACTAACTCCTTCAAAACACTCTGGATTATAGGACGGGAGAAAGGAGGGATGGTGCGGAGAACCCCACTAAAAAAAAGTACAAATAGATGAGAATTATTTAATATTTTAAACAGGTAAATGTCTGTTCTCACCAAGAAGGATAACTATAAAGTTAGATTTTTTTTTTAATTTTGAAAATGTAAAACAACAGAACAAACAACAACTTTAAAGGACAAAAATGTAGAGAAACAATATTGTAGGGATCAATTTGAGGTCAATTGTCTCATATTTCGACTAAATATTTGCTAATATTTTGACTAAACTCTTAGTCAGAATCTACTAAATCATAAAAGGATAGTGCAATTTAAAGCATAACATTAAGAAAAAGCTCTGCTTGATTTTAAGATGTTTTTTCAAAGATTATTTAAACATAATGGCTATTATTATTTTAGATAATAGTACTATTTAGAAAACAACAGGTTATACAATAGAAAATAAATATAAAAATGCATGGAAGTTGTGCTAGCCAAGCTGCCAAATTAAAGTATAAAAATAAAAGTACCTCGGGAATTCTTTGTGTCTCCTCATTGAAAATGTTGGGGAAAATAGTTTGTGGTTTTTGTTCCACTACACTGATTATGATCACTAATGTTACTTAATTAGATAAATATATATTTAAATCAAATAAAGATTGACTGGTCAGATATGATAGTAGCACACTGGCTGGTTACAAGAGGGTAATGCTAAATAAAAAACATTAATAAAAATAAACATATTTTTATCATTCAGCAATGTTGACGCTAATAAATTCAACATTATGTTTATATTAATAGCTATCGTGCTTTGGTGTGAAGAGGCCTTAACAGTAACGTTTTCTCACCCAAGTCCTGAAGGCATCTTGTGCAGCTGTCCTTTAACATACAAGAAGCGGTTCTGAGATGCCAAATGATCACTCGTAATTGGCAAGAGTTCCGACTCAAGACCCAACTCTGAGACCTGCACAAGAAAACAATGACTAGAACAGTGTTTCTGATTCCTGAATAGAGTAAATAAATAACGCTCATTATTTCCAATTGCAATGTACTTTTCATCCAAATATGCCAAAAAAGATAAGATGCATATGTAAGAAAAATTAAAAAATAATTTTCATTGTAGAATGAGATATGATGGCTAATCGTACAAATATTGTGTCTGTATACAACAAAATAATATTGTGAATAGTTCAAATCATAATTGTAGGTACCAAATTTATCCTAGTTATTAATATTATCACGGTTTTGTCAAAATGCCCTAAAATGTTCAAAAATAAATGTCCCAAACTCTTAAGGCGTTCCACCAAGTTTTGTATCTGAAAATGAATAAACAACATATTAAATGTGCAGCTTTATGCAATTTGTTGGCCAAAAAAATAAACAAGGATCCCACTGTTTGTATTATTTCACGTACATAGTGTTTTATGTGCTGTTTTGCTGTTGGAACATTTTTCTTTTGTTTTGCAATAACAGGCAATTACAATGAAAATACAGAAGAATAAGTATAATACAAACAATGAAAATATTATTTTTTGCACAAAAAGAGAACGACAATGTATTTAAAGAAGTGCTACAATGATATGGCAAAGGAAAGGGTAGTGAGAAAGAAAAAAATGAAAATTAAAAAGGAGAGAGAGGGCAAATGAAAAAAGAACACAAATTAAAGCAGAATATTAAAGCGCATGTTTTAGAAGTTTTAATTGCTTTCTTGTTATGAGAAGTACAAAAAGTACAGATCCAATTCTCATTTAAAAAATACAAAATTTGGTTTACATTTAGTACATTTACACTTACTGTATGTATAAAAAAAAACTTTTCCAATAAATAACATTAGGTTAATACAAAAACTTGAATTAAGGAATAGTTTTTTTAATGTAAAACCCCCAAAAGTGTGTCTGTAGTTTAAAGAAAAAACACTACAAACCTTTTGAACTATTAGAGTATTAACATCAGACCATTTTGGTTTTCTTAATAAATGTATTGTTTGCCAAACCTGCTCTTTTAAAATCTACCTCACAGAATACAAGTTTACCTCATTAATAAATCCATGATAATAATAATAATAATAATAATAATAATAATAATAATAATAATGTCAGAAATTATCCTTGAGCAGCAAATCAGCATATCAAAATAATTTCTGAAAGTTCATGTAATACTGAAGGAGTAATCATTCAGTGTCTCGCAACAGAAATGAAGGACAAATTATAATAATTTCATAAAATAACTTGCATTCTTGATCAAATAAATGCAGCTTTGGTGATCATTAGACCCTATGAAAAACTTTATTACTCAATCCTTATAAAATGGAATTGCATGCAAGCCTTTCACTAGACCATAACTAAAAGAACTTCAGTTAAATATATAAATTATCATACTGATTCTCTGTATTGGGCATATGCTCTAGTTAGTGTGCTTCTCATTTTCTATAAACTTCTTATTTGTACAATAATTCACTTTAAACAAGTGTGTGCCAATTTCTCTACCTGTACCTAATAACAAATGTAATGTGTCCCTCTTGTGGCCATGCAAAGAACAACAATAACAATGGTCAATGGTAGTTGCATCTGGCTGAGAAATAAATCACTACTAATAAAGGTCTGATTCAAGTCTTGTATAAAGCTGGTTTAAAATGCACAATTGTAATTTGCTAAATAATACTTCATTATAATTATTATTAAAAAAATAATAATATTTTAGTTGGGTGGTAAGTGATCTTAGAAACAAATTAAAATATCAAAGATTATATGATCTTGTGAACTGAAACTTAAAATTAAATGACTACGTAAACACCTCTCTTAAAGGAATAGTTCACCCAAAAACGAAAATTCGATCATTGTTTACTCATCCTTCACTTATGTAAAATCTGAGTTTCTATGTTCTATTGAGCACAAAAGAAGACATTTTGAAAACCTGTAACCATTGACGTCCATAGTATTTATTTTTCCTACTATGGAAATCAATGGTTACAGGTTTATAACATTTTTCAACGCAATGTGTTTCAATGTCATTGTGTTCGACAAAAAAAGGAACTCAAGGCTTGAAACCACTTGATAATTTCGCATTTTATGTGAACTATGCCTTTAAACAGCTTTCCTATAGATTTCTCCACATACATTAAATCATATATGCAATACCATATTGAGAGTGTTTCGTCCGACAGCACCTCCAGGTCGCACCCCTCGTGGTCCTTGCTCAAATACAGCCCCGTCATCCCTCCGTACGGAGCTCAGCCAACCTCCACATCGCCCAGACCCCTCAAGCAGCACAATCTACATCAGCAGAGGTGGACAGAGGAAATTTGTTATTATTTTTATGTTGACTTCCAATGCATGCTCACGTTCATCCTTAAAGTCAAATTTAAATCTACCACCATTTCAAGTGTTGAACACAAAAGAAGATATTTTGAAGATTGTTGCCAACTGGTGGTCTTTGCACAATAAAATAAACACTATGAAAGTCAATGGCTAACACCCACCAACAGCCTTCCTAAAATCTTCTTTTATGTTCAACAAAAGAAAGAAACTCAAATAAGTTTGGAACAAGTTGAGGGAGAGCAAAACATATGTACATATATATATATATATATAAGAGCTTGATTAGCTGGTTCAGGCCCTGTACTAGAAACTTACTATATATAATATATTTATATGATATATGTGTGTGTGCATATTTATATATATACATATACATATATATATATACACACACACACACACACACACACATATATATATATA